TTTCAGAAGTCATGCCTACTCATTATACTGCTTCTACAGTATTATGTATTTTGCGATTATCATTAATGTAATTGGGATATACAGTACCAATATTAAATACATGTTACAATAGATAATTAAATCAATGTAGTGTTACGAGGGGAACGATCGCTTTATGTTACTACTAACGATAGTGCAAATTGATAATTTAGTTTACGTTTGGTGTATGCGTTGTTAGTATCTGTGTTGAGGAAACATTTACATAAAAATATGCTTGATATGAATTGCATGTAAACGAAAGTAACCTAAACATTGCGCTGTCACTTAATGTAAATCGATTCAAATAATAAAATAAAAAAATATCGATTACATATCAATTTTTGAAATTAAACTTTCTCAATATTGTTATGTCTGTTTATTACTAGGTCCTTTGAGTAGGTTCCGGTGAGTTCCACAGAGATCCCGGAACCCTTTATTGCACTAGACGCTGACTGAAGGAGTTTTAGTGGGTTCAAACCTCATATAACCCTGTCTTCCCCCAGAAGAAGGGTTCTTTTTTAAACATTTCCCCCCGATAACAAAAGATCCTTTGAGTATACAATATGAAAATTTTTGGACGAGAGATTCGCAGCACACTCAGAGTAAAACAAGATGCATACACGAAAAACAAACGAAGTAATATTTGTTCTCGCGACATATTTCAACAAAAGCCGGTGACGTCACGAGGCCTGATTAAATAGCTGTACACAAACACTTCCTTAAGGAAATAAAGAAGGCCTTTGTCTTTGAGATGGTATTACATTACACTGCTTGTTTTGTCAACTGTGCTCATGAAGCTGTGAAGCAAGGGTACGCGCTTTGGTAATAAGAAACATTGTTTATACACGTGAAAACGTGTTCTTTGAATGTTTACGTATGGTTTAACATTAAATAACGTCGTGTTTTTGTTTTTAGAGTCAATTAAATAAACGGGAAAACCAATATGTGACGTAATCTACCACTGGATGGTTCTAGAATCTGTAATTGCAGGTACCTGTCTACTAAACCTGCAGCACTTATGTAAGAGTAGTTAAATAAACAAAATCAGATTTTACATTTAGTTTCATAATCTAAAAACCGTTATAATTATACCTTATTCCGCGCAAGCTTTTATAAACCTCAATATTTTGGTTTCATTTTTACAGCCTGCATTCGCCAATCTATATATATAC